ATTTTATTATGATGATCACACTGTTAACTCAGTCAGTACATATTTAGTAATATAGGCTATTACCTGTAGAGCTTAGTTTCTACTTTTTGTTTACTGCTACTGTAACTTTATAAAGCTTGTTCCTATTTTGGCAGTACCCTTGTATCTTTAATAACATAATATATGGCCTCTTGCATCTGAATCTATAAAACACTTCATCAGATTCTTTAAAATCTGGAAGCAGTGGAGCTGCTTTCTCAGTTCTCTGCCAGGCGTTCAGGTGATTTCATTTACTCCTTTTTTTTTCTTCCTCCAGTTTTCTTCTGACCTGCTGTTAAGGTGCTGGTTTTTAAGTTAAGGAAATTGCCGACTGGAAAAATATACCTTATGACTGTTTGGAGGACTCAAAATTGGATGCTTTCCTCTGAAATATACTTTACCTCAAACAGAAATACTGTGCTTGAACTCAAAATCAATCTAATATCAAAGCATATGCAAGGAAGAGCTACTGAAAATAATTTGATTTATTGCATTCCACAGTGGTTACAAAGTATCTTCCTTGACAATGATTGTCTGATAATGAGTATGGTCTCTCAATATTATGCTAAATTTTAGACAAGTAGAACAAGATAATAGGGAAGCAATGTTGAAAATGGGAGCAGGTCTCAAAAAAATGTGAAAGTAGAAGAGCCAATGTATCACAAAGGCACCTAAGGCAAAAGGCTGTCTTTCCTAAACACTTAAAAACTCCTTGTAAATGCTAGCATTGATTATAAGGAATGGACTGCTGACCAGAATAAAATTGCCTGGGGAAAAACTTCACTTTAAATCTTTCATTTTTCCCTTAAAACATTTTTAATAAGGGTCTCACATGCATGAGTTGCAAAAATGTCAAGAGGACATAGCTCTCAATATCCTGAGGACCATATCCTCTTTAGAATGAGATTTTCAATTCAATTTTGAAACTTTTGGGATCCAGTTGGATTTATTTGTGCTGTTTCTTTTCCTCAGATATTTTGAAAAATTCCACACACAAAAAAATTAGTTCTGAAATGGAAACAAAAAACGAAACTTCAACAGTACTTACAAAACTGTACTTTCCAAATTATGATTCAGAGTGTGTAAAACAACCTTTCATTTGGCTTTTTGGAAAGTTTCCCAGGTTCCAAGAAGTCTTAGGAGCCAGGAGTCCTAGGAGCCCACCCGGAAAATCCTCAGAGCTGGTTTACAGCTGATAAGCCCTCTTTCCCTGGCTGCAGGTCATACAGCTGATTTTTGAATATCTGGGCAGATGACATGGATGATAAGTGGGAGGTTTTGAAATTTGCATGGTTTCTATCATATTTATGCACAAATGGGTGGATGTCTGTGGATAGCTTTCATTTTAAAACACTGGCATTTTCCAGCAGAAAAATACTCCTTAGAAAAATCTACAGTATGTTCAGGATTTCCTCTTTCGAATCAATGCCAGTACAATCCAGTTAATAGGACTAAAAGTGAAATGGAGTCATGAAGGGATTATTGACATTCTGTTTTGAACACTCTCACAGAATGTCTAAATCCTGACTAGTAAATTGCTGACACAGACTCTAAGCTTTTCCAGGGAAAATACAAGATGCTGGTGCTGACCTGTGTCATTGCAAACCTGGAGCTCCTATGCAGGATACTTGATGGTGGTTTTGGCTCTAGTGCTCTTTCTCCCCTCTGAGAGGTAGAACAGCTTCCTGAGGTGCTGCCACTAGCACGCTTGGAAATGTCAGTTCCTATGTGATGTGGTGATATGCTGTCCAAGTAAAATTTTAAAAATGAGATGATTGATTTATGTGGATTTTGAAACATCTGAAGCACAGTCATTCACTCAAAATTTACTGTCATTGGTTTTAGTAATAATCTGTTCCCATATTGTGCTTTATCTCTGGACTCTGGAGCACCTTACAGAGCAAAAGAAATACCATCAATTTTATTTCACCAAGTGAGAGGGAAACTGAAGCAAGAGTGGGGAACCGATTTAATTGTTACCACACATAAGATTAGCAGAACCCAAGACTGAGCCTCCAGTCAGGCTTCATCCATCCTCTACCACAATAACAGAGATTTCCTGAATGCTCAGATCATCCCTCTCCTGTAAATAATGACTAATGTTATTGAAAAGAAGATTCTCACATATCTTAGATGTAAAAATTGTTCACAAATATTTATTCATATTTTTAAACAGCATTCTGAATGTGTGGGCACTCTCAATGTGTGCATTTTTCATTAATGTCCTAGCACAGGAGCTTGTTGGCAGGCATATTGCTGTAGCAGACAGTTTGATGTTTAATTTTGAGGAATTTCTACATAAAGTAAATATTTGATGTGCAGCAAGTAGTTTGACTTTATGTGTACATTTGTCCAGTCAAGGAACAGTCCTGTCCCTTTGCTCTTCACTCCACCAGACTGCCTGCACTCAAAAGAAATTGTTTGAAATAATAGGTATACGTAGGGCAGTATTCACAATTAAATTGCATCCCTGGAAGTGACTGTAGACATTATTCAGCAAAGATTATTAAACAGTTAATGTTATGGGTATTCATATTCTTGGTACATTTTGAGGCGACAAATAGGGAAAAACACTCTCCTGAAGTCTAAGAAGGAAATAATTCTCTGTAAATGTGTCTTTTTGTCATAAGTAATTTGATGTTGCTGCATGTGTGAGATTTGCTCAGTCAGCCCGAGGAGTGCGACCAGTCCACACTAAATCCATTTGTAGCCCGGGTACAGCTTTCCTTCACTGCGTTTGACTTTGCCCCTGTGAGGTGAAGCTGTAGTCTGTGGGTGAGACTTGGGGCACCGTGATCGGGTTCCTTTCTTTTATGCTACATAGTGAAGGGTCTCTCTGTGGGCAGAGACAGGGTGATGGTGAGGAAGTGAGGGGTAGGCATGACCTTGGTCTTTCCCCTGCTGTGCGGCCTGTCACCGGACCTGCACGCCAGCTCTCTGTGCTTCCGATGTGTGCGGCCTCTTGTCTGCACCTCCCCAGACTCACAGCCATGCTCTGTCTACGCTTACTTTTTCCCATTGGTATCAGTAAGTCCCAATGGAGGAGAAATTAGAGAACCACAATGAGTTAGACAATTTCCCCTCTTAGCGAAAGTGCTATAAACTTGTTGTTTTCTCTGGCTTGTGTGGGGCTGCTTCTGTCAAGTCATAGCACCTTGTTGCTTATCCCAGTGCCTTTAGCTGTTGGTTTCATTATCATAAGCTTATTCAGATGCTTCTAGCTTTCTCTTTTTGTGTATAAGAAGTAATTAGTGTAATTTAATGTCATTGCTGTTGCTTTTTCCAGGACAGAATAATACTAAAAATCCAATATAACTATAAAGTTAATCACACTGTAACTTCTCTTATACTTCAGTACATCTCCACATAAGTCCTCAACAGTGATCTGGGGTTTGACGAATCACATTTCTAAAAATTTCTGTACATACTTATTGATAACAATTTTGTGGCCAAAATGGTATCATCAGAGGTTCAACATACACAGATACTTTGGGATATCATAGAGTAAAATACATCTTTTTCAGAAGCGTGAGATAAAGCCAATTATGACAGCTTTAGTGAATTAGGCAGTGGAAAAATCTAAGGACGAGTACTTGATGTTTAGCTTAGTTAATTCCAATTAAAGCCTTCATAGTAATTTTAAAATCTAATGTAGAAATGTCCTGTTGTTATTTGCTCTGTTTTTCCTGAGTATTTTTAATAAGTGGCATCACCTAGATTGAATACTTATTTTAAAAAGGAAATTTTGGTGGTTTTATTGTTAAAATCGCAAAACCTTTCAAAAATATACATGGTAACAAAGACAAAAACATACAGAATCCTTTATCTGTTTATTTAAGCATCCCAATGACATCACAGACTGCTCATGCTTTTCTCCCATATTTATCGTGAGGTCACTGATCTCTGTTTTACCTCTTATCTCCCATATGTATATTTCTCCCAGCACATGGACACATATTAATAGCATGTTTGTTTACATGATTGTGAAGATTATTGTTTTACTTGTCAAAGAGGTAGAGCACATGTGCTATGAGTAAACTATGTGATAATCTATGTAAATTATGTGCACAGAAGCTATACTTTGCCCTTGGGGGAAATGCAAATTAGAACATTTTGTATTTTGTTTGTTTTTAAATACATATACTTTTCACTTCAAGGCTCAGGACATACTCCCTGTTTATTTTCCCATTGCTCATCATTTGTTTTTTCTTTTAAATATCTCAGTCTTTAATGATTAGGTTGCTACTTTGGCAGGAAAAAAATGCTTGATGAGTGAGGTCCTCAGAACATAATGTTCAGTGTATTTTATAGCTCTGCTGTAAGGGAATTATCTGCTTGTAAAAGGGTGTATAACACACTTACAACTCAAAGCCATTATAGTGATCTGACAGTCTTCATTCATTTTCTCCTAGTACTGTCTTGTTTTCTTGTTTTACATTAGTGCTTGTAATATTTTTTAATCCTGCATTACTAAACCACAGAGTTAACTGATTTTCCTTATATGAAACAAGAAAAACATATTCATAAAATGTGTTGTTTACTGCACTTGCAGTTCTCTGCTGATGTAATTTTTTGTATTAATAAAATTATTTTTATACTCTTTAATTACCCTTTTGGAGAAATGTTTTAATGTAAGTTGTCTGATTCTGTTTTAAGTGAAGGAGAAAACCTGGTAGAGGTTGTCTCTTTAAATCAGATCTGCAGTGTTGATGGACCCTCTAGCAGGCACGGTAAGAACCATTCTCACCTCTGCAGCAGGGAGCTTGACCATATAGGCTCTCACATTCAATCAAAACGTTTTCCCTTTTAATATGCACTGTACCAATCCTATTCCCATGGTTACAGCTCGTGCTTCTTTGGTTGCTTCCAGTCTGTTGGAAAAGGAAGGCAGCATACATTTCTTGTACAGGAGTTTAAAACATCATGAAAGCAACCCTGTTGTGATTTGCATTTTAAATGTTTCTTTTTTTTTCTCATTGTACAGAATGCTGTAGCAGTAGCTTCAGTTCATTTGCCACAGTCTGTCTTCTCTCAGTCTTCAGCCTGGCAATCTGTTGATAACTCCACTTGCAAGCTACAGTTTATTGTCTTTCGGAATGGAAAACTCTTTCCTAGCACAGGAAACTCATCAAATCTTGCAGATGATGGGAAACGTAGGACGGTTGCCACACCAGCTGTTTTTGCTAAAATAGGTGAGGAGTTGTTATGCATTATTTCCTTTAATCTAAAAGCTACAGTATACTTGATTATGTAGAGAATAGAGGAGTAGAGTATACAGTGTGCTGAGAGGCTGGAAGCAGTCTTTTTCTTTAGTACAAATGTTTGCAATTGTTCCTATCGGCATTATTTTATTCAAATTATCCTGCAAATAAAGAAATGCACTTGCTGTATGACTAGAATGCAAATTTTGGAGTACTGTTTGTTGACAATGTTGTTACAGATGCTTGTTTCTTAAAGCACGGTTCTATAGGAAAGAACCTTGGTTTACTCTTTACAATGAAAATTGCAATGTTAACGTCCTAGACACTGATAAAATTAAGGCTTTTGGAGTGGGAGTAGTGCCCTGTTGCATGTATCAATACTCACCAGTATACTTTCTGATACGATGGATGTAAAACAGGTGTTGTTAAAGGCTTTTGTCTAAATGTGATATATTGTATGTGCTAGTGAGTCATTATTTTGATTAATTATTCACCCAGGCAATTTTACTAATTTTATTTGATACTGAATAGTGCTCTCATTTCTATTAACATTTTTTAAATGTTTAAATGTGACTTTGAAAGTGCAGAATTGACTCAGGTATTAATCATACCATGAAACTGAGCCGTTATGCAGTTACATGGGCAATAGTGCAACACTGGTCCTAACTGAAGAATCTGAAACAATAAAAAATCTGCTTTGTGAAGGATGATTAGATCATTCAGACACTTTATGGGATTGAAATGTTCAGATTTATTTATACTATTGCAAACTTTTCTGAATGTGAGCACTACCTTTGATTTTGACCGTTAAGAGTACGTCTATTGCTTTTTTCCCCATAGTTTAGTGTATCTGATCTTTTTACACAGCATTCATCAGTAAAGGGTTTTCCACTCCATCGCTCTGATTCAGTTTGTTGCTTTTGCAGATGGGTGCAGTTTTGGAAACCTCACCAGCCCTCTTACTATAGGGTTGAGGCACTTTGCACGGGGTATAGACCCCATTGCAGCCTTCTGGGATTTTGACCTTCTAGATGGACATGGAGGCTGGTGGGGAGAAGGGTGCCACATAATTAGTTCTGCAGGCAATATTACCACCATTCAGAGTACACACTTCAGTAACTTTGCAGTGCTAATGGTAAGTATATGACTTAGCAAATATACCTTTTTTTTTTCTCTCTCTCTCTTTTGCCATACATATATGTTCTTTTTATGTGCATCTGTATCATTCTTACTTGTCAGTAACTGACCTTCTGGTTTCTATAATGTTTAGGAAAAGACAGTCTTAAAGTAAGTTATTTAACTGCTAGTAAGTGAATAAACCTGGTGGTCAGTTTTAATATCCAGAGACAGGCCTAATCAGAAATGACATTAAATTCAGTCTTACAAATGAAAGTTCCATTAAGGAACAATTAGTATGTAATGGTTATAAATTATAGGACAGGGTTTAAAAATGTATACTCCTGTGTGCTTTTACATCAGCACATCTCAGAGGCTGGTCTGCTTTTGTTCCTGCCCTGCACTGTGTTGATCATACTAATTAGTTGCAGGCATACCGCAATGTTGAATCATTTAATAAATGGAGAGGAATAACATCTTCTGCTCTTTTAAGTAAGGACAATACTGCCCTTGTTGATTCTGTAGGAGTTTTAGTTTGTATACCAATGCTGATAGCCTTCTTATGAAATTGCTGTTCGTGAAGAAAAATATTTCTGTGCAGTGCTAACGTATCAGCCTGCTTTGGTCTGTTCTCAGTCACACTTACAGTTCCCATTGCAGTTATTTAACTATCCTGCTTAGCAGAAAGTTACCTTCATGAAAGCACAAATATTATGCAGGCAGCAATGACCTGTTATTATTCAGGGAATAAAGGAAAGCAAACAAAAAATGAGAGAATTCTAACATATATAGATGAGAAAATGTTTGCACCATTAAAAATATTTATTATAAACCATTTGTAAAAAGATTAGCCAGATGTGTACTATTAATACCAGATTGATCCTGAATGGTGGTGCATGATTGCACTGTAGATGCTGCTTGTGTACATTACAGAAATGTTTATAGTTGAGTAAATAATGTATTGTGTGTATGTGTAAGGGACAGCAAACATAGGCGACAGGAATTGCGAGGACGTGTGCAGAGAATACCAATCTGCTGCTGTCAGATGGAGCCCAGATGGCAGCCAATCATAGCACAAGGCTGTGGCACCCACGAGTTAAATGCAGATATTATCGTCCACTTCGTAAGAACTGATTTCCCTCAGAGTTACGTGAAAATTTTTCACCCAGTCCAGAATTGTTCAGAATTTAAGAGCTGTTCCTAAGATTTGACGACATCAAATATACCAGATTTTCTACAGTTTCTATGAGTTCCCTTTTTTCCCCCAGCCGCTTGTTTCCCTGAATGTGAAACATAATTTTGCTTTCAGGATATTCTTCCAAATTCATTAAAGAAAGCACCTGTTGACTTTGCAGGTGCCACACCCAAAATGGCTTCCTCCTCCTTCAACTGCTTGGGTTCAGCCTATTCTTCTTAAACTTTGAGTAGTTACTAAATGTTAACTAATTGCTTGCACACAACCAACTCCATGGTTTCATTTTATTTGCAAAAATTGTATACTGACACGAGGGCTATGATGAATTTTTAGTTTGTAAAGCCAAATGCACATTTATATCTGATAAGGCGTAGCAGATTGGTTTTTCTACACCATAAAGGCAACTGAGGCACATTTTACTGCAGCTTTTGCATCTGGTATGTAATTCAGGTTTAGGTCTTGGGTTTGTTTTGTTATGGTAATTCAACTTTGCTTTTTTTCCTGTGTGCATCTTCCATTTTTATCTGTGCAAGAAAGTAAATAGAATTTTAGGCTCACCATTGCTTTGCAATTGATATGGTAGCAAACAATGTGATAGGTTCCTTAGCTCATGTTTCACAGTCACTTTTAGGAAAGAAGATGCCTGACCTTAAGTAATTTTAATATATATATCTATACACACACAGAGATATGTCTTCAAACAGTGTCTTTCTAAACAGCTATTGGAAAACTTTTGTAGCTTCGTTATGTGCAACCATTTTCATTCAAGTGTTATTTCTTAATCAGTGTTTTGTGGCATAAAGTCAGGGATTGTTTTATTTGATAGAGACTACGCTTTTCTGGACAGTTCAATTCTCATACCAGAAATGAAAAATATTTCATAGTTCTGCTTAGCTATTAATTTATAATATGAACAATATAAAGTGCCTATGTGTATCTTCTTAATTCACACCTGAGTGCCTAATATATTTTAAAATACTAACAAAGTGACAGCAAATTCAAAATAGCTAGCGTATGGTATGTAGCCAATGAAATTAGCTACAATATCAGCATACATGTTATTAATCTATAATTCTCTAATCTATTAAACCATAAAAATTCATAATTGATTATTATGTTTTGGGGTAATAGCAGAAAACTGAAGTAGCATCTGTAAACTGAAGAGCAGCAATAAAGCAACAGTGATGAAGGTTTACATTACCATCACAGTAATGTATGTCCTGCTGTGGAACAAGATGAAATAGAAGCCTCAGTTAATACAAATGTCCATTTTATAGCTAGTATGGCACATATTCTGATTTGTCATCTTTTTAAATAGTAAGACAAAGTTCCCTGAACTGCTTTTATAAAAATTGTTTCTGCCTAGGTACTGTAAAAGGGTTAAAATAAAGGTTTTGTAGAGTCCTTTTTTAGAAAGGCAGCAATCAAGGATTTATCAGCTACGATTGATAATTAATAAGCATGAGCATACTTCAAGTGAGAGGATTCATGTAGAGCCATTTGATTTCTCTCTGTGACAGTTCTTCCAGTGATGTCAGTGAGAGAGAGATTACAGTTTGGAGGCTGGCTTGGAAAGGAGGTACAAGCTCCTTCTCTTATGCACTCTCATGCTTTCACTCTGCTCTGGGTTGGGCCAGTGCATGGAAGTAAAGTAGTAGTGTCAGACATAATACAGCATTATCTTTTTCTAGTCAACTTTTGGATGGTGTGTCCTAGGGGTGAGACTAAAAACCTATGAACTAAGCTCCCGAGTTATATTCCTGCCTTTCCGTTCATACACTGTGTGTTTAGACCAGTCCCCTCTTTTGTCTTTTCTTCTGTTATCTGTAGGAGGAAAAGAGACAATCATGCTCTAGTTTCTTTTGGAGGTGGCCAAAGCCCTCTAGGGTCTTGAACTATGAACCTCTGCAATATACTTTCTGTTTTAGAGTAAAATTATGAACTTATATATTCTGGAGCTTTGTTATATCTAATTATTTGTTGTATAAATACTATGTAGTTGTTCTCTTTTGTGAACTGAGCTGTATATCAATATTATAATTTTTCAGGACAATGTTTGTGTATGTTATGACCAATCTAGTGCTCTGTAGCCATGGTGTATCTGAGTAAAAACTCTTCAGGAGATAACAAAAATATCCAACAGCAGCACTGAATTTCAAAATTTGCTAAAAATGTTTGGCCATACATTGTCCTTTGCTCTTCCTTTCATTTTTCTTAGAACAGAATGGCAATTCAGTAGTGATGGATATTACTGTAATTGTATACAGCATTTCCTTTCCCCCCTCAGATGGCTTTGTCAATAGTAATTTCCTCAAATCTGCCGAATAAACACTACTAAAGTTCTTAAATCTAAGTATGCTACTTCTCAATTAACATAAAATGGATTAATAAATATTGTTAGCATTTTTAATTGTAATCCTGAAGATAGATTAAATGAACATATATCATAACCAACTCCTTTCCTGGTTTGTCACAATGTATTGCATTATTCCAAACAACATAGGTGGGGTTTTGTTGGATTATTTTTTTTCTTTGTGAGTGTAAGGAGTCATTTGCAAAAGTAGCGTACATTCAGTGGATAGCTATTTGAGATAATTAGGGCTGAGGAGACTGAGCTGACAAAAACAGAGCAAATTTGAAACTATCCTGGAAGCAAACCTTGGAAAACTGTGTGAATGAGAAATTGAGGAAAGGCAAGATACTAGGAACGGATCATGCTAAGAGTTACAGGATTTTTCTCCTGTTGTTTTACAAGCATTCCCTGAATCTTTTAAGTATTTCCAAATTGGTAGGATGACAGTACCACAAAAGCTACATTTTCAATATTTTCAGTGTGACTTGAGACAACTGCAGAATTTCTTAGGCCTATTCATGAAGTTCACTTCTGAAAACAGTCTTCTAAATGACTGTGTTTCAGGTCTTCTCCAAATTAAACAGCCTGTCTAAGCCTTTTGAGAAATTAATTAATGAGTCAGGGAAGTATTATACAGATGTGATTTAGAAGGTTGACATAGTTACAGTATTTGACATTTTCCCCATAGAGAACACAAGGTTTTCTCGTAATAGGCTGTGGAAACGTGGTTCAGGACTTTAAAAAAATCAGACTGCTAATAAAGAGAGGTTTAAGAATGAACTTTTCAAAATTTTTTTTGTGTTTAAACACCTGATTTTACACCTACAAAATAGACTTTAGCAGAGTTTAAGCACCAAAGACTATGAAAGTGATCCAGAAAGTTTACCTGCTATCTGCAAAATTAACATTTGTTGTAGTGGGAACTGCAAAATTCCCTGGAATTAGATTCCTCTGCACATGCGTAGATGCTTCCCAGTGTGAAGAGCTCAATTTCTAAGCTCTGCTGTCATTCAGAGGCCTGGCAAGGAGGCACATACTCTTCACCTAAGTCCACAGCTGGCATGTACTGCTCACCTAAACAGAGAATGCTTAACCCATATGGACGGTATTGAGTCCAGCTTCCCAGAAAAGGTTGCTTTTTTCAGAATATTCCTGAATGTGCCAAGCTTTTGCATAAAGCCTTGGAATTAGAGTACTCATAAGAGCAAGATCTGGCTTGTAGTCCTTTCTCCCTGGATTACATCTACTTTTTATTAAATTATACTTAATAACATGTATTATTTGTTCTGTAAAATGTATAAACTGTCTTGGTACTGGGGACAAAACTCCAGGTTTGTCTTCCTCAAAATGCACTAACTTTATAACAAATCAAGCCTCTGGCTCAAGCTCGCTCTTGGTATTTGCTCTTGCTTTTTACTGGCTTAGTGGATCTTGCATTCTTTGTAGTGCAGCTTCAACCAAAGGGTAAAGGGGATCCAGACTATAAAGGAGCTCAGTAAAATGGGCCAACTCTTGGAGACAGGAGATGTAAGTTAAAGACCTAGAATCTAGGTCTTGACCCATCTTATTGTCTTAGTGGCTTCTACTGGGCTTCTTCCAATTCATCAATGTCTTTCTTGTACTGAAGTGCCCCAAACTGGACACGCTAGTCGAGATTTGGTCTCACAAGTGGTCAATAGAAGGGAATAATCACTTCCCTCAGGCTGCTGCCTGCACTCTTGCTAATATGGCCCAATATGTTGTTCACCTTATGTGCCACAAGGGCACACTGCCTTGCTTTCCATTCAGCGTACACCAGGGCCCTCTGATCCTTTTCTGCAAAGGTTTTTCCCAGTCAGTTGCAGTCAGGATTACTCTGTCCCAGAGACAGGAAACTTTTTACTTCTCTTCATTGAACTTCGTGAGGTTCCAGTAAGCCCATTCCTCCAGCCTGTTGAAATCTGGCCAAATAGCAGCCCTTCCCTCCAGAACATCAACTGCTCCAGTCAATGTGCATTGCAGTGTTTTTGGCTCTCCATAGAGACCCAACTCTATGGGTAATTTCCATATTCTGGTGCTCCTAAACATCCTAATATTTGGCACCTAATTTTTAAGTTTTGTTTTGTTTAAGTAGGAGGACTCTAAATACAAATAGTAACCTAAATCTTGCCATAACTGATTGTTCAAATGCACTTGTGTTTCCAAGTCTCTGTGGTGTTTGGGTATTACTTCCTCCGGGAACACAGTTTCAGATGTCCTGCTTTAAACACAGGAACCAGTTAGACTATACTTTCTAACATCATACTATTACAAGCAATATATTAAAAATAAATGTTTTATTTGCCAATATAAGTAGATGGATTACAAAAATTTACAACACAAACTAGCTTGTTTTTAGCAGCTGTGATTTTGTGGAAGTACCAGATATTTAGTATTAGTTCACTGTAACTTCCCCTCAGCTTTCTCAGCATCTGCTATTAAATGTCTCAGGGCTGCCTTTGGTATGTAAATCATCTATACCTCTTTATACTTTCATATTGAGTTTTAACTGATCAGTATAGATGTTTCTGTTTCAGTCGATTTTTGGAATGAAGTCTCAAGTAAAATGGTCCCATTTCCACTCTGATGTTTTTATAATTCTGATTGTTGGATGAAAGAGCTGATAAAAAGTCTTTTCTATTCACTAATTTCCATCACTAATTTCTATTTTGCTTTATGTACTATGGTGGCATTTACAGCTGAAAGAAGCTGGTTTCACACCTTCTTAGAAGGGTGAATGAATGACAAATTCTCATTAGACAACATTTTACTGGCCTTGTAGTTGTAGACAGCAGTTTGTAATGGTCAAAGGCTTGTGTGTATTCATTTTCCTGTAAATAATTCCTGCCATTTTCCAATATCATCATCATTTGAATCCCCTCTAGGAAATAAAATCAAACCCACCCTTTAAAAATTATACCATACAATTATGCTGCTTTGCGTACAGCATTAAAAAAGTAACTGTTTTCTGCATGCTGTCTTCCCCAGAGGATCACTCAGGGGAGGTTGACAGATCAATAAGGTTTAATTATCATCAAAAAGCAGACAAGATAGATTTATTATATATCTATAATGAAATCAGTTTTCAATATACAAAACTCTTAAAAAGGATATTCTACATTGGCAATAATGCATTATGATACTCAAAAGTTTTACCACTTATTTACTGTACAAGATTAGAAAAGAGATAATAATAAAAAAGTGATTTTTTTTTTATAATGGAATTCACTTTAAGATGCTGATTGCTCTTGATTCTTCTGCAGGCAAAATGGCTGTATTCCTGTAGGACATATGGCATTTGCTTTTATACTGATGTTCAAACATAGTGATTGGTTGATTCTTGCACTCACACTATTAAAAGCTAGTTCTTTAGTACACTGAATGATGCTACCTTAAGTAAAATCACTTTCATTTGTTGCTACATAATTGTGTAGCTTCACTGTGTTTCCTTTTTCACAACTTTGTTAACTTTTCAGAGGGTTTTTTGGGTTGGTGTTTTTTGTTTGTTTGTTTGTTTTCAGAAATATCCAAGATACTTATTTCTTTAAATAACTGCACTGTTACTACTATGTTAGTTATAGTAACAGTATTCTTAATGCACAGAAATGAAGCAACTGTGTACATAAAATTATGACAAAGTGTACCATTGGTATACCAAAATATGATTATACGAGTAAGAGCTAGAAGTAAATATGTTATCATTTTCAGCAGAGTATTTCTATTTAAATTGTCCAGGGTTTACATTACTACGCTAGTAATATGAGCCAAAATTGTACTGAACATTTCTGCTAAATAATAGTCTACCTCAAGAAATTCACTCTGTAAAAGAATTAATGGGGAGATGATGCAAATAAGGGCATGGAAGAAAAAAAATGGTCAAAAAAAGGGTGTTTAAGTGGAGTGTCAGTGGCAGTTCTGAGCCAATAGGCTTTTAAAGAATTATTTGAAATTTGTGAATTCAGTATATCCTGAATGTATATTCAGGCACACTGAAAAAAAAAACCCAAAATCAAGAGAGGGTATCAGGAGCATAGGTCTGTCACATTAAAAAGCTGCCACATCAGATGACAGAGTTCTTTTCCTCTTCCATTCCACTCATGGTTGAGGGAAGAGTAGCAAGAGATGTTAGGAGACAGCATAACGGTACCTCTGTGACAAATGACTCCACCTCTGATTTTGAGTCTTGGTGAACTGGGCAGGGCTGAGAGAAGACGTGTGTGGGACAAGTGGTGACTGAGCAGATTTAACTGAGGTACACATGCAAGCTGAGGAAGTACTTGAAGAGAAATTGGATGTGATGACAAATATTTGCCATCATTGTTCATACGTTATTTGTTCATTTTGATGGTCTTTTTTATATATGTTGTAAGCTGCGCTGTTCTAGAACTGACATTAATATGCATCTGGAGGAACTGGTACAGTCAAACTTAGGAAATTTAAAGCTAGTATGAAGAAAAATAATGACTACTAGGGCATCTGTCGCTTGTAAGGACCTTTCTGGAAGGTAAACGGACAGTACCTTCCCCCCTGATTTAATAATTGCATAAACTCATGAACATTAGCTGGACAAGTTCATACACATAAATAATGGTGCTGGAAATCAGCTCTCTGCATGCAAATGCAATTAAAAAAATGTATTAACATTACAGTCCCAGTCTCCAAAGGGGAGATTTCACCTCAGGAAAATAATGTATTGAATCTTCTTCTAGGGGAACCTAAAACTGACAAATAAGAAAAAAGTCTTTTAAATGTATGCCAGTAGTTTCAGTGTTAAAGTTTGCTGGATTTTCATATTCACTACTTTTTCAGGTTTTAGCTTTTTCTATGGTGGGATGTATATTCACTTTTGTGTGCACAGTTAATGCCACTGCACATGGAAACTGGCATGTAGACGACACTTTATTTGCAGTCGGGTGATAGTTTATGTGTGTAATTCGTAGTACTTGTTTGCAGAAATGTAGTGCCACAAACAGATGTGGCTTAATGTATTACAGTGAACCTCTAATGTTTGGTTTAATTCAGATAGTCTGAAGACATACTGTTTTCTGTAATGGGCTCCTTTTTCTGTCCATCAATCACACCTGCAGATTTAGCTCTCCTATTATTTCTTACATGGGAGATCCAGTAATTTAGAATGGGAATTTGATATGGTTAATTTTACAAAGTTATTAATAGTTTTTCATTATGTTTTTCGTGAAGAACTGTGTCACAGTAGGCACTAGCAGGTCCAAAAGGAATGCATGGATCTTTACTCTCCTGTTAATAAAGCTGTCAAGCTGCTTTTGAATTGATATAGGTAGTAGAGTATTTGCAACTAAGTGTAAAGGTCAATGGGTCAGAGGAGGTGTATCAACTGGGAATTATATTTGAATATAGGAGTGAGTCAGTCAATATTTTGGGTGTATTCTCATGGCTTTTGTTTCTTTGAGTGGTTCTTCTGCAGCCATGCATATGCCATTTAGAGACCTTTATGGTAATTTGATATTTTGTACTTAATATCCTAGTAAAATACACACATAAAGTTCATGTTATCAGAAGGAACAGATATTGCTAATGCCTGGAAAATGTAATATTCTGTGTATTTTTTCAGACCTTTTTTTAACGAGGATATGTCTGCTTGTACAAAAAGGTTAATTTCTGTCTTGCAAAGTGTATGCAGATGAGGAAAGAGCAGTCTGATGTTATTGTAAATTTATGAACTCTACCTACATAAAAAGTTCATCATCTTATTTTCCTGCTCTTGAAAGGGAACAGCTAGAAACGACAAGACATATTGAAATGAAGTCTCAGAGTTTCACACATGCCTAACAATGTTAAATCATTTTGCTTTCTCCATAGGATTTTAAGACAGTGCTGTCTTTCCCCCAGTACCCAGGGGAGTTTCTGCACCCTGTGGTATATGCATGTACTGCAGTTATGTTGTTGTGCCTGTTTGCTTCCATTATCACCTACATTGTCCATCACAGGTAAGAATTCAATTTTAAGCACTTGTGTGAAATGGTCAGCATTATACTGAGGTACTTCAATTTTTCTAACCTGCACTGAAAAGAGAAATTAAAATGATCTGAATTATTGTTGGATAGTAATATCAGCAATGTGATTTACACCAGAGGAATCAAAAAAAGTTTGTCAGCCTTTCTCAAGCTGTTCCCAAGCTGTATCTTTGCTGAGTTGTATGTCTAAATGGTCTACACACTGTTCCTAAGATTTCTAACTTGACAATTCAATATAAAACCATGAGCACTATCAAATTGCTTTCTGGCAAATTCCAATTGAGCAGCACTTTGGAGAGCAATACACTGATGGTATTGGCTTCTAAGATCAAATTTGGCTGAAAGACTGGTAACTATCATTGGATAAAAGAAACTTTCTTTGACTTCTAAATCTTCTTGGGTTTAGAAAACTTGTGTTTTCCTTTGTATGAAAGATTTATATAAATGCCATTTTAACTACCTACTTCTGTTAAAGACCATTAGCAATTTAAAAGACTAGGAATGTATTGTACTGTAGAAGCTGCTAAATATTAATTAAGTGAACTAATGCAATGACTTCTGATCTTCAGCTTCCATTTAATTCTTTAGAGATGTCTTGTTCAAGTTCTGCATATCTGAAGCTATGCAATAAGCCTTTTGCTTTTATTACTCTACTTTAAATGCTTAATTTGATGGAGGAAACTTTAAGTCAGTAGACCCTTGTCAGTAGACTCTTTATGATTTTCACCATTGATTTTACCTTTTTATCATTGATTTCAATGTTGTATAAATCAGACTCTGTCCTTTAGGTAGATTGCTAAGTAGGTGTTCAAGAATAAAAGAATTTAATTCTCTCATATTAAGCATTTTTTCCAAATCATAATTTTCATAATAGATATGTTGGGTTTTAATTTTAAAATGCATTTTTTCAACAGCACAATCCGAATAAGCAGAAAAGGATGGCACATGCTTCTCAACTTTTGTTTCCATACTGCTCTTACATTTGCTGTTTTTGCTGGTGGCATCAATCGCATTAAATACCCAATTATATGTCAAGCTGTAAGTATCTGCCTTAGTAATTCTTACTAATAGAATGAAAACCTGAAACTGTATCTTTTAACATAATATTGATAGTTCTGTCTTTTCCAATATTGTTCCTGGATCTTAAGTTCTTCAGAATAAGTCATCTTTATAAGCATGTCTTTTCAAGGCCAGCACTGGGAGTGTTCAGTGTTTGGTTGTCACCCGAGTTTCTGTGAGAGGCTGACCAATGCATTAACTTCTCTGCAGCTCAGATTTCCTTATTTTAAAAAAAACTGAAAATCATACTATTTCTCTGTTCAACAGGATAGTTGAAAACTATGATTCCCAAATATTTCTGTCCTTTCTGATCTTTGGATTGAACGTGTGGAACTAAAGTTACTGCTGCACTTTTATAATACATATACCTTTTACTGAGGGTGGCCCTGGCTTCACTGGGTGATGCCTAAATATACACTTTGGCAGCTTAATGTTTATAGTACGATTATGTCTTTTAATTACAACTCAAGCTAAGGAGACAAAGCAGACCAGTACACTTGCTATTTATGGACCCTTGTTTGCACTGCTGGACTACTTCACATCTCTTGCTTCATCCTTTCTGGAGATAAGATGCCATGAGATGCACAGAGAGAACATGGCTTCAGGTGCTTTGAATATAGAGGCTGAGTCTGTACAGTGTGTAAAGAGAGTCATTTCAGACATCTTCTGTAATGCCTGATGAAGGCTTGTTGCAATTTGTCTTAAATATTTCTTCCTCTTGGATTTTGTAGAAGTGCTCCAGATCTCATGAATGTTGTTGGTATTTACCTGTAGTAAAGCACTTCATTAAGCCAACAGCCTCCCAGATACTTTACCTCTCACTAATCTGGTTCTTCTGATTGGCTTGAATGGGTGTAAACAGCAAGAGTCACCAGCCAACAACAGAGTCATTGCCAAACTTGCATAACTAGTGTAAGAGTCATCACTCTAATTTTCAGTGAGATGCTTTGGAAGCCTTTTGTGTATATTTGTGCTTGACCATCAATAAACAGCACATGTAGATCTGTAAGCACCTGTAACATTCTACATGCAAAGTATGTATATTACATGGTATTCATTTAAATGACACAGTTGTCTACTAGATTATTCTAAGTATCTCACAATACCTAGGGTATAGTGTCATAATTAATCTGTGAGTTCTAGCAAATTGAAATATCACCATATTACCATTGTCTTTATCTGCAGTTTGCAAGTGAGGGTAGCAGATTAGTTTGTAGGGCAGTCATGGCCATGTAATTACATGATCACAAATAACCATCTGCTGTTACAGTCATTGTCTGGTTATTTACTTTGCAGATTGCATGGTAACAATGCAGTATTAATAGCAATAATGAAAAATTGATTGAGATAAATGACTTATTAATAATCTGTTATGAGTAATACGTAAACTACAGGGGTATCTTCATAATATGTATTATCAGTGACAGCTGTTTCTTGCTATGGTATAGGGCCAGATCCTGAGCTGCTGAGAAACACGCACACTTACAGAAACTGAATGGATCCATTCACAAATGCCTTCTAATCAGTTTCATAAAGTTATTTATTTACCTGACACTATGCTACCTCAACAGACAGTATCATCAGCAGTTAAAATACAGGAAAGATACAGGACACACAAGACACACACAGTCCTCTGGTTCCTGGTAGAAATTGTCTGATATAATTAGGGAGGGCTAACAGATGCTGGTAATAGAGGCTGAACACATGTTCACTCCCAGAACATTGTACCCCACCACAGACCCTTTCTTGCCTACTGACAGCAACGTTTTTCAAAATTCTGTGAGTCCCACTGCCTGTCTCCTCCTGTGATAACCCTGAGAGGATTACTCTGTGAATTAATATTCAGGGTACCAAAGCTTGGACAGAGGGAGGTCAGACCTACTAATGGGTTTCCCAGAAAGCTCACATATTTGAACAGTTCCTGTAGCTTGTATAAGCAGTGGTGGGGCGAACAGCACTCCTTTTCTCCTGTATATGGAATATAGCAATTCTTTAAATTATTCAGCCTAATGAAAGGTATGTTTATATAGCTAGTTTGGGCTTGTGTGTCCCTCAAGTCTAAGTTTTTGTCTCTTTCTCCTTTTTTTCTTTTTTTTTTCAGTTCTGGAAAAAAAACTGGTATTAGGGTTTAAAAATATATTTGTGAAAATATTACTGCTTCAAGCAGCACTAAAATATTAGTTATACTCCATGTGTAACACCATTAGTGTTGCTATAGCACAGGTATCTTTTCATCTGCGACAATTCAAAACACAGCCTTACCCTCCAGCAATGTAGTTTGCACTTTGTTTCCTGAGTGCCTAGGGAATATTCCAAGTGCAAGCATTTTCTGACCTAATCACTGAAATGTGGTGTCAAAGCCAGTGAACCTCCACCTTTCTTACTGTAATTATCCCTAAAACTTTCACAAACAAATTTCACTGAAACATCCTTACTCAAGTGAAATAATAGACTGAGTTAATTTTTAGCCTTCATAATTAACCAAAAAGGGTGGTTCTAAAATAACTTCATTCGAATCACCTTCTCCCTCTAAATGAGGTGTCCCAGGCTAATTTTAAGCAGCAGGAAATAATGCTATGGAAATGGACCCATTTTCTGTGATAGATAGCTGGAAGAACCTTCATATCCCCTTTAAGGCAAAGTAATTACACAAAAAATGTGTTTTCAGAGAAGGTAAGATATTTATTTTTATCTGGAATATAAAAATCTAAAACTCCCTTTTAAACCTGCATACCTATTTCAGAGATGATTTTGTATAGACAGTCTCACTTGCGTATGTGCTATGCAGTCTTTATGATTTATAAAGAAAACTGATGTTAGAGTGCTGGAAGAGTGCATGGCTTCTTCACAGATTTCCTGTGTGAATGAGGTTGTATCTACAGACTGTTTAGATTACTCACGAATCTGATTCTGGGTGTCACTGAATGCTGGCTGTTGATGTAGAATCCAGAGTCTTGAGATTATGGCAAAATCGTTCATGCAAGGCAAAAGTTGTGTTAGGAACAGCAGAATAGGATTAATCAGAGCCACCAGTACACTAGCCAGAAAGGTGCTTGAGTGAGCCAGGGGATGATGTAATCAGCCCCTTCCATCTCCCAGAGTTGGGGTCTCAGATTTCTTTCCTTTAAAGGGCAGAAGGAGGCTTATTCCTTTCATGTAGGGAATGAGACAGAAGGAGACACAACTGTAGCTGGACCACTCCCCGTGTGTGGGAGGCATTGGTTCTGTACCCTCAGTCTGAAAAATTTCAGTCTCATAGCCCCTACTTTCCAGGAAAGTATGATAGCCATGAGGCTATGGATGCCAGGGGATGAAATCGTCAGTTCAGCATGTTGAAGTGTGAAGAATAGGCTTAGGGACACAAGAACCAGGAGACAGAAAAGTTAGGGAGTGAAACAGAATCATATCCTAGGGGCCAGTCACTGAGTGGCATGATCACTTGGATCACATCTCCCAGCACCTCCTATGCGGTTTATGAAATAAAAGCTTCCATGTAAGACTTGGTAAGGCTCAGATCTTCGTTCTCCCTTATAAGTGTCATACGTGAAGCTGCTTGTGAATTCCTTTCTGTAGGGCAGTAATTCTTCAGCGAGAAAGGCAAAGCCCGTTCTATACTAGCCAGTAGCCTAGAAGTTAGACTACTACCGTTGGAAGTCCGAAATTTGGATTTGAATCCTGTTAAACTAAGGAGGTCCTAGAGCTATGCACCACATCTTGGGTAGGAGCTGTAGATACAAAAATATTATAGAAAGAGGAGGAAAAGAGCAGTTCTTTCTGCTCTAGCTATATATTTTTGATTTTGAAAGAATGGGTGTAAAATTAATGTACTGTGATTAAGTTTGCCAGTTAGGGTGTCTCAAGCAAAGAATGCCATTTAAGAGCTCTTGAGTAGTCTTCGGTGAGAAAGGTGCTGCATTGTTCAGCTCTGCTGAGACAGGAACAGAGCTAGTCATATGCATAAGCAAGACTTTATGTGGCTGGAAACTTTACTAGCACCAACCTATGATGGCTAAAGACTTTGCACACTATGGAGTTAGATGTGCATGCTGAAGATTGTCCTTCCTGGTTTCAGGTACCTGATTTGTGGGTCTCAACTTGCTCTAAATTTTCTACCTGTGAAGGGAGCACAGGGTTGTTCTAAGGCTAAATGTTTTAAGATCATTAAATATTCACATCCAGTGGTGTTATAGACCACAGAGAAATTCCTGAATCCCTTCCATCTCACTGAAAAGAATCACTTTCAGTGCAGGATTAGCAGTGTAATTGGAATGTCAGTGCATAACCATATCCTCCTTTAAATAGAACTGGCTGAAGAAGGACAATCTTATCTGAAATATGATTACCTTTGAAAAGAAGAAATGAAATTAAAAACTAGGGGAAAACAAAGAAATTCGTGTGCAAGTTAAAGCTGATCAAGAGAGCTTTTTGTGCCAAAATGCTTTGCATAAATGTGTATTCTGGTCATTACCATGGTAACTGCAAGGTATGGAACTTAAGTTACCTCTAAGGAACTGAAATTTATTGAAGGGGCACATACAGAGAGCATCTTCTTACTGTAGAAAAGCGTAATCTTCTATTCAGTAGGCTGGTGCTTATTCCCAAAGATAAGAGTTCTAAGAATACAGGACATGGAAAAATGAGTCCAAGGAAACAAGAAAATTTTCACCATATAACTGTGGTTATTAAATAGCTTTAGCTGCAGTGCTGTCTTAAATGCATGTGTCCTGACAGTTCTTTCTGTACCATTTGGCCTGTCAGTGGAAAAACTTCTTACGAATACAGGTCATCACTTTCGTATATTCAATCATAATCCTTTGTTCTGTGTGGAAAACTTGATGCTTCCCACACGATTCTATATGAAATACAAAAGTTCTGGTTATAGTGAAAATAGTTTTAAGTGTACACCTGGGTATTTAATTTATGTCTATTTATTGGCCTTTTAAGCTTTACAGAGGCACAAATCCAGTAACAAGATATACACAGATAAATTTGTACCCTGGACCTTTGTTGCATAAACCTAAGGTTTAAATTTGCCAACAGAGTTAAGTGAGAGTTTACTGAACAAAACTATCTTTGTCCTGTTTCCCTTTCTGTTGAGCTTTGTCTTCCCCTTCCATGTCATGTGTTGGTATCTTGTGTATTTCTAGGATAGGGCTCAGATGTCTTCCTAGCTTAAGAGAGCTAGGAAGAGGTGGTCCCACTGAAGGGGACAAAAGAGCATGCAGCCACAGCCCCTAAGTGCAACAGTGAGGAAAATGCATCTCCATGCACAACTGATGTCAGTGTGGAGATATGGGGAAGGAAGAGGCAGAGAGCAAAGCCCACCACTTTGAAACACTGAATTTTCAAGATGAGGTGTGACAAACATTTCTTTACCGATTATTATTAGTGAATGAATAAGAGCAAAATTCTAGTCCAGAAAGCATATTTTGTGATGGGAAGTGAGAAACAAAATCATTGTGACACAGAGCAAAGGGTATGCTTTCCTCTGGAATTTAGCATAACAGCCCAGTACACCCTTCCAAATTCCACATTTTTGTTGTGTTATATATGTTTTATCTCCAGATTGTCACCATTGTCCTTCAAATCTGTCAGTCATGAGGAGGTCCTGTATCATCAGGATATATCCTCTTTTCCTTTAAGCAAGAAATGCAAATTGATTTTTTTTTTTTTGAGACAGAGAGAAAGAGGCATATTATTGAAGAGTTAGAACAGAAGATGATAACACTTCTGTCTCTTGTCCATGTTTGTTTGATTTGTCCATGTATCACAAGGAACTAAGTTGCTGAAGTATCAGCACACTGTGAAGAAAAGTAACGTGACTAAGGTGTGGCATAGCAATGATGTTTTCAGTTCAGTTGCCTCCTTAAAATTTCAATAAAATTGTTTTATTGGACTATTTTTAGGAATCTCATTCTTCACTTAAGTGGCTAATTATGCTGTATATATGGCCATATATGTTGCCAAATTTCACATGTAGGTGCCTTCTCACATGGAATTCATCCCTGCTGTTCATATTCTTATAGACTCTTTGGCACATTTGCATAGAATAATTACAGAATATATAGTAGCAGTGCTATAGTGGAATGAGAAAGAGGTTATGAACCGAATCCCTAGAATTTTTCCAGTTCTTTCTCATGGTTCCCACCTCCTTTTTCTTTCCCTTTCTTCTCACCCTCTTCTTCCTTCTGCCTTACTCTTTCACTCCCCCCTTAGCTCATGGTCATATTCACTGAGTCCCTACAGAAATGCTGCAAGCTGCATATGAACTAAGTCCAGACAGCACTAGCCACTGAACTGGCAACGTCTGCCAGCTGATGGTACAAAGTTGTCTCATTCTCTTATTTTTGCTTCTTTTACCTCAAGCGACAACAGCTATGAAGGCTTTATATTCCCTTCTCTAATCTGTCAGACAAGTCCCAGAGAAAATTACAAAGGGTTTTCTGTTGATGGTATTTGCTGCTATCTTCAAGTTTTGTGCTATATTACTAAATATAAACAAATTTCATGGAGTTTTTTCCTTTACCCATCAATTATTTTAAGTTGAGCAAAAATGAACACTGGTTCAAATAAAACATTATAATAGATTTGTGTTAGCTTTATTCAGCAATTCTCTGTATTCCTTAAACATTTATATGCTTTCCAATTATAGCAATATTTTACTTCTCACTGCAAAATGTCAGGTTATTGCTTCAAAGGTAACCTCATTTTATATAATCAGATGGAGACTTAGCTGATGTAATAAAGCACTGGAGATTGGATAAAATTCCAATTACTGTTTCCATAGTAATGAATAACAATTACTAACATAACAAGGAAGTTCGTATTTTAGAGGTGTTTGTACTTTATTTTACTTTCAGTGATAAACAAAACGGTTTCTTGGGGACAAAATGATAATAACACTATTGAGAGTTTGTATCTCCTTTTAAGGGAGGATGCCAAGATCTGTCATTTAATTTTAAAAAATGTATAGCCAAGTTTATAAGTTCCTTAAAATATGTCTGAAAATAATCTGGTTTTAGGCAAATAGCACTGATCCCATTACAAGAAGTCAACCTTGGCTATATGCAGCTGAGAGGGAACTACAGCAGGATATTCCTGAAAAATGAAAGGAAATAGTAGCATAATAGCAAGCAAAAATACTGACCTCTCATTCATTTTTAAATTGCATTGTCATGATAAGCTAACGAGGCTTGCAATACAAACTAACCTTTGCATCACTTTAAATCCAGGTGTAAATAGTTGTCATTAATCAGATTCTTAGAAAACAAATGTCTTTACAGTTTTGGTTTTGTAACATACCTTCTGGTATCACAGATATTATCTATGATAGATTAAATAACTGATTCTATCTGCTTTTTAGAAGTGTATTCCCTGGTGAGAAATAACCAGAGAGAAAGACAAAATTAATGCACTTACAAATTAAGTTAAAAAAACCTGTTTGCTTGTACAGTTATGCAGTAAGATTCTTCTAAAACTCTTGTTTTACTGATCCATTTACTGACTTGTTTAACCGTCCACTCTTTTCTTAGGTTGGTATAGTTCTACATTATTCTACACTCTCTACTATGCTATGGATTGGAGTAACTGCCAGGAATATTTATAAGCAAGTCACAAAAAAACCTCAGCCATGCCAAAACAGTGACCAATCATCTTATCCAAAGCAACCACTACTCAGGTATGGAATATTAGCTGTATTTATTTTTTTTATGTATTCCTAAAACACAGAAATTTTAAACAACCTCTCACTTTTATTTCTGTATTCTTTACTTTTTACAGACTATAAATAGGATCCATAAAGAACTGAGTCACTTTGGTGTATGTAAAAATTTGAATATTTATTGTACGCTAATAGTTAACTCTACTCGGGAGATGGAAATATGCAGAACTGGTATTGGCTAGGTTCAGATACCTTTATCTGAACAGGAGCAATTCAAATGTTTCTGTTGGTTTCTTATGGAGGAAAAAAAACTGGCTTGCTTCTGGGTTAAGGCATTATTTAATCATCAGAAACTACGCTACGATGACTCTCCCTTTACCCTTATCTATTCTGCTGTAAATCTTGCCCACACTTGTATTGATTGCCTCGTAACCTGATAGCAACCTTCCTCATTCCACATCGGAGATCTAATGCTATTACAGGAGCAACTGAAAGTCTGGACTTCCCATCAGCTTCCTAGATCGAGCAGACTAACTAACCTGTCTCTGACAGCATGGCAGGTGTAATGCAGTAAGAATTTTAACAAGATGCCTAAGAGATGCTGAAACTTCAAGCCAAAATAGTCAGCCTGCACAGAAAAAAAACCCAACTTATCACAAACTAGGATTGACAACCAAAGGCATGAGAAGATGGATTCATCTTTTTTCACTTTAGCTGTCAAAAAGTTAGGTATTAGCCAAAGTTATCTAGTGTCCCCGTATAGATTTTGGAGGGACACTGTGACAGAGAGGAACTTCCAGAGGAAAATTCCTCCCATCTGTCTTGGATGTTTGTGTGAGGACAGGTTGAATTGTCTTATGGAGGTGCCTCTCTTTCCCCACAGATCATGGAAAAACTTGAATGGTCAATTCAGACTAAAGACCTCAGTTTTATAGTGAAAGACAGAAAATACGAATTCTATTTTTTATGGCTTTACTGTGAAAAAAATCAGATTAGTGTATTCTTTTAAACAGACTTAGCTTATATTATTTTGAACACAAAATGTTTATTAAGTAACTTTTATAGATGGCTGCGTGAGGTTGTCACAACTTGTTAAAAGTCTGTAGGAAGATGAATTGTGTTTTGCTCTCTGATTCTGCTGAGTGAAATCTTTATTACCACAATTAGTTTTCTGCTTTTTAAAACATTTTCTTTCTCGAGATGAAATTGATTAAAGTTAACATAAAATTTGTATAGTGAAGAGCCATATTGAACATTAGGTGTAAAGAGGAGGATTTACTTTCACTTAGAGTGCCTGACTTTGCTAATCCATGATTTACTATACCATTCTTCACAGATGAGAATTTCACTCTTTCAGTTACTAGCTCATGGCAAAATTTTCAAATGCTGCAGTGTGGCTATTAAGGTAGAAAATTATTACAGGTTAAATAGACCCAGCATAGTGTATGTTCTTCAAATTCAAATCTTGTTTGAGTTGGAAAACAATAGACAGGTTACAGAAAACATTACTCTAACTAGAATCTTTGTTGTACCAGTCACGTTGAGGTTCTCAGACAGTGAAAATAAACAGTAGGTAATTTAAGTTTAGTAATAGAAATTATAAACCTCCTTTTAGCTGTGAGAGAACATGAGTGTTATTGTTTAATAGCTAAGTACAATGATTCTAAGTTATTTTTCTCACTCAGGGCACCATATGTCCTAGAGACACAGGCACTGAAATGTCTAATATGATTTCATAATGGTTAGTACTAGATTCAAAGTAGTAAGGATCAATTTCATTTCATGTAGAAAATGGGCATAGTATATGGAAAATGAAAAAATTGCTTTACGCAAGAAAATGCCAAACTCATAATTAGTAATTCTTGTTCTTTTAGAATGATAATGATCATTTTTATGGGCATTTTAACTTTCCTGGTTTTAATAAAATTAAAATCAGAATTATTCTGTATCATAATATTTCCATAAAATCCATTTAAGATGCTTATATTTCAGTGTAATCATTTATAAGAAATGTTTTAACTAGATGGTCTTCTTCTATCTATAAGCTGATGCAAGCCTTTATACATACTGTGCCTCAGGTACATGAGAGAGAACATTGCAGTTTGTCCAGGTCTGGGTTTGGGTGAGGGAGTGTTAATTTTTGTCTCCATTTGACACCAGTAGATAGCTAAATTATATAAAGTTTGTTCAAATGGAGATTGAGTTAAGCTTTTTTGTATGTCAGGACCACCAGTGCTAGGAAGCATATAATACAGTCTGCAAGACACTTTTAAATGAGAGGTAGTTTGTCAGTAATCCCTGTTGATAGACCTAGTTTGACTTGTGTTCAGGTTTTGTTGAACACAAATACATGAATGTGCTTGGCAAGAGCTGTACACTTTGCTGTTCTCCTTCAGTCTTTTCTGGTAATGGATGTATATGATAGGCTGGGTTTCCAGTACACATATGAGTGTTTTTGTATTCCTTGTATATGTACTTGCTGTATGAGACGTATGGATATCTTTCATGAGGCAGTAAGTGGGGCTACTGCCGAAAATCAATACACAAATCTATGACGTGGAATTTACCAAAAAATGATAAAAATTCTCTCACCACATTTTTTTCAGGAGCTTGATCTGCTCTAGAAGTAGCTGAAATATAGTGAAAATAAATACCAAAATATCTAAAAGGAGACCCTACCTGTCAGTAGAAAAGGACATTTGCATGTAACATTTGCTTCAGTTTCTCTGCCTGCTATTTGCATGTTCATCTGCAGAAGTAAAACAAATGAGGTACACTTGATCTTTTCCTCCCAGCTTTCCTTGAGCTGTGGCAGGATGTATCCTATTACATAAAACTGGTTTTCTGTGTTCTAGATACAACGATCAAACTTGAAATCTTTTTGCAGCGTAATTTTACTGAAACTTGTTCTTCATGGTGATGCGATTTTGAATATTGCCTCTTTTTATACATTAATCATTTATTATATGATACATCATGTATGTTAAACATTATACACTATATATATTTTATTATATATATTATACAGGGTGTATTATCTGTTAATTATAGAGTTAAAGCTCTTGGGGCCTATCACTTTGGCTGGAACCAACTGTAACAATTCTGGCATTTTTCACTAAATGTGCCTGGATGCTAGTTAGGTGGATCAAATTAATGCATCATTGAATTTTGTGTATTGAAATGCTGAACCCTAGCACTTCAATAGATAATGAAATTACTTCCTGTAAAATATACTCTCTGGTATTCTTAATAGAAATAAATAATTCTATATGTTCATCCTCCATGGGATTTTGTTAAACCTGGCAGAGTTTGACTTCTGATTCATCTGAAGTCAGATTTTGCCAGCAAAGACAAAGGGGCATGCAAGATTCAGCTATTACTTGCAATGTACAAAACTTATCAGCCCAAGCTGAGGCACGGGTAGTATTAGTTTTTATACCTGATATGTGCGTGCTTATTTCATGTGATGCTCTGTGCACATACAGATTAGACAGGAGCACAGACCAAGCAGAAAATATTTCTGAAAGATATTCTGTTAAAATCATTCCTTTCCAGAAAGACAGAAAAAAAACCTAGGCTACTATCGTTTTTAATAAGATAATTACTGAGCACAATTGCACTTTAAACATTTAAAATAAAATTAAATAAGCTGCCAGCTGAGCCAGAGATTGGTGTTAAGGAGACAGATAATTAAGTTACCTTTTATCTCAGGGTTAACTACAAATACGTCTCCTAATTTCCTCCATCCTCTTTTATTCAACGAACATCTTGCAAGATAAATAATATGGCAAACTTCAGATTACAGAAAGTCCAATATGCTATATCTGTCATGAAAAAACATCAATGTGCATACATAAGGCTGCAGAATCAACTGCAAAGTGGATAACAGGTGATGTCACTGTCTCTGCTAAACTTCATCTTGTTTATTATTTAATATATCTTGATAAGTTTTTTAAAAGGTTCTTACTAAAATTTTGGGGCTTCTAGGAAAAGTACCTCATGCAGTGCCTTAGAAAAACTGTATATCTAGCTGTAGTAGCAATTTAGGAATGGATTGTGTGTCCTTCCCTTTGTATTCAAAGTACTAGGCTTAGTACTATGGCTATTAAAAATGAACATAGAGAATTTTGGGAAGATCATAACTCAGGCTAATTAAATCAGTTTTCAGCAGCACACTCAGAGCACCTACAGTTAATATCACTGACTTCAATTCCATTCTCTTATTGTTTTCAACTTCAAATAATTTTAAAAGTTAAGAATCATTTTTAGAATGAGAAAGCCGTTTGCATATTTCATATGTTTTTAAATGTCTTAACTGTTTATAGAAACTGTCCTTTAACTTGCACAGAGAACAGACCTAGAAATAGTAGGTGAGAACTGAAGTGGTTCAGTTGAACTGTAATATCTGCTAACAGATGCGTACGTGCGTGTGTGTGTGTGTGTGTCTCTGCTATTCTGTATCAGATTCTATATGGGCAAGTTTCTGTACATCATCCATACACTTCCAGAGTACTGAGTGATGTCCTGGAAGCAGCAACAACAGGGGTCTTCCTTGTGGGCTATGTTTGCAGTGTAGCAATAACTAACAACCTACACCCTGATCACAGGGATGTGCAAGATGCGATAGTGCTCCACTTGCATCCTCCCCCTCTCCTGTAAAAGTGGCAGCAGCTCTTCAGTGTCATTCCCTGGCTCATTTCTCTCAGCTACCTAAACATTCCTCAGTAGTATCCAGCTAAACAGTAGCTAAGTGTCTTTGTGACACTGAAATATGTTAAATTCTTTCACTGCAAAGAGGAGAAACCATGCTAAACTTTCAAATCCAGGAAAACCCTCTCCTTTGTTTTGTGTCAACCAGTCCTTTGATGAGCAGCTCTTGTCTTGCAGTAAGGAGATTTTACAGGCTTGCATGATACCACAGGGGTCGTGGCATCTGCTTAGTGCTTGGCTCACAGTGTTAACCCTGCTTGTCTCGGGATGAACATTTGGATGCTTGATCTGAATTCTGACAAGCTGGA